GCATTTTGTTTGTTTGGGGAGGGAGAAGATGTCCTCCTGCAGTGCAGTAATACTTGCTGCTTCTCCCCTTGATAGTATAAAGTGCTGTAGAGAGGAAACTGTAGGAGGAGTTCCATGTTATTGATAGAGAAGCAGAGGTGCAAAGGGGTGGACTGATTTTACCAAAGCTACACCATCAGGTTAAATGAGCAGAATGCAGTCTCTGGATTACTAGTTGAATGCTGTATTCGTCAGTTCTAGGTAGATGCTCACTAGTAAGTTCGGAAGCAGATGTTGAACTGTGAGCTGAGGGAGGGGTGAGAAAATGAAATGCTATTGAACCAAAGTGGTTTTAGCAAAACGGGAGAGAAAAGTTGGGCTTATGTTCTGCCATTGTCAACCAAAATGCAGGAGGGCTTAGATAAAGAGGTTGCAATTCTGTCCCAGGACTCTAGTTTGTTTCTAGGCACTTATAAATGCCAGTGGCTGTTTCCCGGCATATCGTCTTTCTTATGTCAGCAACCTTTTTTTTATGACTCGGTGTTAGCCTCGATTCAGATTTGGCATTACTGGTCTTTGGGTATTGCTGACTGTATTCTTATCTTCTGTTTCCTAGTTCTCCTCCCCTCCAGAGTCTAGGATTTACAAAAACAGAGAGCAATCTTCAGGCTTCAGATAGCATTTTCCGTTTAGTGTGGCTGGCCTCCTGTTCTTCTAGCGCAGCCTAGACCAACTTCAGTGTTGTAGGAATGAGGAAATAGGAACATTTTTTATTTGATAATAAGTAATCAAGGGCATTGTGTTGTCCCACATAAGGATGGAGTGAGAGTGGGAAGGGAAACAAGTTCCTTTTCTTTCTTTTCCTCCATTCCTCCTTCAGAGTCTCTTCCTTCCCATTTCTGGCAGGGAAACCCCTGTCAGAACAGTCTAATTGGAACATGTATTTATTTGAGGACTCTCTGTTAGTTCTTACAGAGACATGCCCAGACACTTACAAGCAAAATTCATCCCTGCAGCATTGTCCCCCATACCTCTGGTTACTCCTTCAGTCTACATGGCATGCCAGGAGAGGTGATGTCTGCTATAATACAAGAGGCTTATGTTTGCTCTGAACTAAAACACCAAATAATAAAAATATGCCAGTACAGCTGCTGTATGAAAGTTGAGCTAAGATCCTTTCTTAACATTTCTCAGCAGGATTTATTTTGTCTATTCCTCCTTGCTTCTACTGACAACTTACATGTATGGAAGGGAATGGGGCGGGTCTCAAACAACAGCTTTACCTGTTATTCAGTTTACATCATTAACTTTTCTGAGAAGCTTTAATAGAGGTGAATTTCTTCATAAATAGAAGTGCAGAGCATCTGCTATTAAGAATCGAGATTCTGAAAGGCACAAAGGGCACTTAGGCTTCTCTAGTTTTAATAGAGATGATCCACGTCATTACTGGTATGAATTGTTTCATCTCTTGGTGACTTGCTGTTGAGATAAAGGAGAATGCTTAAAATCTGGAGACTATTTCTTCCTCCATTTACACCACTTCCCTGGTGTAAATCAGGAGTGATTCCTTTGAGTGACACTGTTGTAGAACCAGTAAAAGTGAAATCCAGTGTACCATTTTATTGGTATGCAGGAGTTCATTGTGTGCATTATGAGCTGCCAGAAGCATTAAATGGTTCAGAGAGACAGTTCATTATTCTTAGGCTGCAGATTCACAAATGCGTAACTGTTTATAAAGTTAAGTAATGTTATTTCTCTGTAAGTAGGAGGGAACTTTAAGCATGCATAGAGGCAAGGTGCTTGATTTTGCAAAGGCATACGCTGTTGATAAATCCCAAATATTGGTAGTATCCCTTATACAAAGTAGAAGCATTAAAAACCACATTAAAGGGCTGCTCATATAATGTTCCTATAGAATGAGTTAGAATGGAAGCCTACTGACTTATTCTGACCGCTGCTGTTCTAGACTAGTGGTCCCAAGAGGCACATGCAATTCTGCCTGCACCACTGCTCTGGTTTACTGATAGCACTCATAATTACAGCTTGGTAGAGTTTCCAGGGCAGTCAGAAGGGAGGAGTTAAATTTAAAACCAGCAGATTATTAGATAACTAAGTTAACAGCCCCTGGCCCTGTGTATTCCAGAACCATTAGGGCCCTAAAATAGCACCAATCCAATCCAGTCAGAGGATGTTGACTGTTTCTGTGACTTCTCATGGCAAGATATGCTATTTCTTCCTTTTGCTGCTGGTATTACTGTCATCCTCCCTTATTACGTACAGCCTCAGTGCTTTGGCAATGAAATAATGAGAATAGAATCCTCAGCTCTCAAGATATGAATCTTTTCACAGATCATGTGTAGTGTGGGCAAGGTAGATTTCTTGTTCCAGTGTTCCTCAGTTGTGATTCAGACCACCTACCAATTCATAGGATTGTTTAGCTTCCTTGATTCATTCCGTCCTCAGGCCCTTTGATGAGAATGTCAAGAATAAATGGAAATTATATATAATTTTGGTGTGCAGCTGCCAGTTCAGCTGTCCCTCTGAGCCCAAGATCACTCTTCTGAAAATGCTGCAAGCATCGCATGCCGTTGACGTATTGGACTCGTAGAAGATCATATATTGATTGCATTGTTAATGAAAGAATATGACAGTGTATATGTTATATGTATGTCTGAGCATATAACAGTCTAGTTACCATTCATTTTTTATCTGCATCTCTGAAGGGACGTGATTTGCTTGCAGGCTATGAGTATAAAGTGAGGAGAAGGCGGAGAGATCTCTATAGCTTGATGGAACCACTGGAAGGAAGTTTTTTATCCCAGAGGTATATGTGTGTTGTTAGGAGATTGTTTAGGGACAATTTAATCCATTCAATAGAGGGATGGGTTGACAGTTTGGTTCCTTTCTGCCTATAAACAAGTCAGACACAGAAGAGAGACTGACTGATGTTAGATTTTGACTAAAAAAAAAAAAAAATCCTTAAAACGAACTCTTTAGCTCAAGGAAGCCCAAGATTTGCAACACTAAAGGCCTTGTTGGCAGCTTGTCAGCAGCCTGAGGCCTGCACCTGCTTTGCAGAGACATTTGCATAAATATTTCTGATCAGTAATGCATGCGTGTAACCTTACTTACCTGTTCTCTCAGATTCCCTGATGAATGAAAATGGCCTGTTGTAGGAATTTCACTGGTAATCCTGATCAATACATTGGAAAGCGTTGCCTTCAGTTTGGGGTCCCTGTCCACAGGCTCATTTTTAGATCCTAAGCCCTGCTCATCCTGACACTATTACCAGAAGCCAGTGAAGAAGTGAATTCGTTGTTCTAGTTTGCGTATTACAGCATGGACAAATTTGGATGTCCTGATCAGACCTAGAGTTAGTGCCAAGAGTTTCCATCAATTGACTTTACCTCTTCCTTGTTGCTGCGTTCCTACTCTTTTGCCCAGCATTGTACTTTTTTTACATCTAGTTGGAAGATCACCTGCAGTCCTTCATCCAGGACATGCCCAGGAAATGCTAACACCAGTTCAGTGTAAGGGACGCTCCTTCTGTCTCCCAGAGTCCAGCTACCTATGCAGCTCTGATGCTGGCGTGCATGATCAAACATGCACGTAGAAAACACAATTAGTCAGCAGGTCACTGAGATCAGATTTCCTAATGGGTCCTGTGCCAGGGCCATCCTGTTGGCTCTGACTGCAAACCAAGCAACAAAGTGGAGCAAAAGAACTGCAGACAAAGGGCTTCTATTTATTAGTTATTAATGATGTTTGATTTAACCAGATCAGTCTGAAATCATTGGTAGCTAAGACTTACGTAGTTTGCATCAGTGGATTCCTGCTTGGGTTTGCTCCCTCTTCTTCCTCCCCATTACTCATTCCGTTAAAGTAATGTTGATAATTACATGTTCTCAAAATATTTCAGGGTAAAGAAAGGTTAGATTCAAACTCTGAATTTCTATTTAAACGACATCCCGTTTTGGAGTCAGTCAGATCATAGGTTCACCTACCCTCATTTATACTGCTATAAGAAGTTGAATTAAAACTTTAGATTTGATTGTCGCATGACTTTGGGAAAAGTCCAGCTTGGATGTGAAGTTTGTCCAAATCACTGTTTCTCGTGCTGCCTTCCCAAATGCTGTAGAGCCAGAGATTGCTGCCCTGTTTTTAGAGCTTGATACGAGTGTTGCTTTCTGTTCTTTCAGGGGCTGGACAGTTATTTAGCCTGTCATTTGAGTATGTTTCTGGTCTCATAGGGTGTGTGTTTGGGTTGATACTGCACCTGAGAATTGAACTAGGATTTTTAGGGTCTGTAGGGAGAAGGGGTAATCGGAAGCTTCTCTCCTTCTTCTCTCTGCTGGCAGACACTGTACCAAGCTGCCCTCCACTGAAACTTGCTCTGCATGTGTCTTACAATGCCTGTTACGTTTGCTCTTTATCCTGAGTTCTCTTTGAGGTCTCCTTCATGCACGGTGTTCTCAGCTCTTCTGCTGCAAGCCTGGTGTGACTCTGGACAGAGGTATTCCAGGCTAACAGAGAGCAGAGTTGGACCTAAGTGCATTTCTGTGGCTGGGAGGAAATATGATGGATGTTGTAGAAATTGAGGGCTGAAAGGAATTTCAGGAAATCATCTAGTCTATCAAACAGTGACTCTGTGTGGTCAAATGTGACAAAGGTCTTCCAGAGCCTGGAAAACGGTTTGCTTCCCTTTATTGCTATCTGTTGGTTCTGTATTACATGCCTTAAAATTGAAAACTTTGTGTTAGAGAAAATAACCTGTGCAGTGGAGGGACCCATCCGGATTAGTATATATGTGGCTAGCTTTGTATGTTGTGAGAGTATTTTGCTGGTGGTGGAGACGGGGGAGGTTCTATTTAATATAATTTCTTGATGAAGACAATCAGGGGTTGAGCACATCTCGTTCTTTCAACACTACGCAGGGAAAGCCCCGGGTAGACACAAGGCCATGTGGCTTTTGCTCATTGGCTAAATATAATTTTTCTATGGGCAGTGCTGATTAGCGCGTTATGGAGAGAGGCTCTAGAGAAATACTCAGGTCTTTGGCAGGTACAGGAGGGTTGCACTGCTTTTAAAGAGCTGGTATATAGGTTAGAGTATAGTATGGGGTGGAGGAGGACTGAACACTTAGATTTGCCATTTCCCGAAACTCAGATCTTGCTCTTTATAACAAACTCCAATAGCAGCATCGGTCTAGTGGGGTTCTTCTGGATTTACGTCAGAGGCATGTTACTTTATTGTTATGGCATCTAAATGGAGATGACAGTTAAGATTGAGGTGTTGTTCTGCCAAGCTATACAGAGAGCGAGAGAGTCTAGCTAGGGCTAAAGAGAAACTAGAGCAAGTAGAGAAAAGGAGTGGAGTGGAGAACTGTCCTAGGTTATAAATTGATGAGACGGACAAGAACAGAGCTGAGTCCTAGTCTTGAGACCTACCCTGGATTATTTTTCTTTTTTCTGATGTAAACATTGCTGCTCCTCTCTGGAGGAGAAGACACCAAACTTACTTAAATAGATATAGTCATTGTTTAAAATCTCCATTCTTCGGACACTAACAGTGTAATTGATTTTCAGCTTCCTTGTGGTTTTGTTGTAACTCTTGTTAAGTGAACAGCATCCATTCAGTTTCATAGACTGCGAGTTTGTTTTGGAGATATTTGATTACGACTGTGAGATGTTTAGATGCCAAGGCCACTGGTGCCACAGAACTTGTATAAATAAATTTCATTTGTGCCACTTTCACGCGATTAAAGCCAGAGACCCGGAACGTATTTAATGAGGTTTGTTTTGCTAGTCAGGACATGCAGATTTCATCTACTTTGTTTCATGTTCTAAAAGCATACAGGAATGTACGCACATCAACATTTGTTGTGGATTGACTTCTTTCTTCATTAGAGTGTAGCAATTTCTTTATATGAGAACAGAAGCAGGGAAAGCTTTGGAAGGGTTTCGTAGAGGAAAAGCATTGTTCAGCCTGTCACTAAGGGCTTCCTTAGTTTTCTGCAAGGGCAAGTGTGGACTGAACCAGAGCTTCCATTGACTTCAGTTTCCTTTTAGTCCATCTTCCTTCTTATTTTTTAATTTATGGACTGTTGAGAAGAAGCTTTGGGTCAGGATAAAAAAGGAGGGAAATAAAATAACTTGACTTCAGTTTTATTTATACCAGGAATTTCTGTTCAGATTCCAAAATTCAAAGGGGATTGGATCTGAGGTTTTGCTTTGAGCCTGTCTTTAATTCAGCATGCAAGAGATGGTTGCAAGGCCAAATAGTATTTCCTGTTCCACCCAGTATATGTTATTGCATAACTAGCTGCCCTTCTTGTGAAAGCAGTTTAACTGACCTCCCGAGAAGCAGGTATAGGCTACTGATTGGGTCATGGCGCAGCTCTGGAAGGTCCATTCATCTTGTTGGCCTCAGTAATTCTTTTCTTGGCAGAAAGGCAGGGCCTTGCAGTTTGCGGGTTTGGATCTTGGGAGTGAAAGCTGTAGAACAAGCCATCCCTCTCCTCAACGCAGTGCTCAGACAGGAAGAAAAGGTGATTGATCTTGTGATGTATTCCTTTTCATTTGCTCCTGAGATCCTGTAGTCACCAGACATGTCAGAATTACAGAATCTCTCCAAAATGTTTAAACCACAGAGGAGCAAGCAGTCACCTCAAGTCGTTGGTCTCCAAGACTAAAGCTGAGGGCAGCACATATTTATATTTAAATAGTCTGGGCTTGAATGAAAGGGAAACGAATGGAAGAATCGACATGACTGAAAGAGGGGACTGATCTCCACAGACACAAGTTCTGTAGCTGGTTCTGCCACTGACTCGCTGCATGCCCTGGGTCATGTCAGTTTATTCCCCAAGGCCTCGATATTCCTCTCAGCAGAAAGTTGCGCTTTCCAGTTTTGTAGAGAGACTTGTGGACGGCAAACATCATATAAGTACTGTTAGTCACTGTTCATATTCTTGTTTCTCTTTCAGAAGAAAATGAAAAACATGAAAAGCTCCGCCTAGAAAGAGAACAGGAGCAGAAGAAGGCCAATATACAAAGGGTTAACAATGCCATTCATGTGGAAGAGCCAAGGAATGAAATGCTGGCAGTGCCCATCTCTCCCCCTGCACCAGCCCCTCCACCTCCTCCGCCTCCACCCCTAACAGCTCCCATATCTGTCATTCCCATTCCTGTTGTTACCAGCCCCCCTCAACAAGCAGCGCAGACCGCCTTGTCTCCTCCACTCGTACAACGCCACCAGCCTCTTGTAAGCACTCCCAGCATCACTAAGGAAGCGTCTTCAGTTGCACCTGTCATACAAAGACCATCTGGCCCACTTCTTCCAGACGTGAAAGCTGCTACACCTCCATCAGGTAGTCCAAAGCAGCTCCAGCATTATGCAGCTCCAGTTCTGGCCATCTCTCAGCACCATGTTGTTCAGCAGCCAATACAGCCCCAGCCTCAGTCACATCAACCTCTGCAGCAGCATCCAGGACCACCTCCGCAGCTCAGTGCTCTAAAGCTGGCTCCAGCAGAAGATGCCAAACCAAATGAGCAGAAGAAAAGACCTGGAGGGTGAGTGCACATTGTGTTTTAGAGATAAGGACTTTTGGAAGGTTCTGAGAGAGAACAGACAGAAGCGATCTCTGAATTCCATAGCAAACCTGAGCGTCCGTTCCATTTGTAAAGAGTTGTCAGATCAGAAATAAGATCCATGGATATTTGGATGTCTGGTTTTTGATAGCCTGTCTTTTTAGCTTGGTGTGGTTTTTTTTTTTTTTTTCCTCCTTCCCCTGACTGGAGTATACAAGGATTTTTTTCCAAGCCAGAACTGTATTAGGAAGCAAGTCGCGGTACTGCCTGTCTGATCTCATGGCATCTGATATTGTGTTCGGGCAAAAGATCTCTGCTCAAAGTGGTCAGGGAAATCATACAGCAATCCTGCTTGCAGGAACCGTCTTGCAAACTGGGCTGTGGTAGTGTTCTAGAAGGTTTTGTTTCCCAGGACAGAGATCATCTTAGTTACTATCTTAATTTGTGTTGTAACTGCTAAATTTAATCCTGAGAGATGAGCAAAGCGGGCTTCCTACTTGTTCAGGAATCCTGGAGCTGGAAGGGACTCAAGGTTTTTTAAGCTTTCCCCACCTTCATGTATGACCTGTGCACCAGGAGCAACATTAAGGTCACGCACAATGTGTTTTTCTAATATGTTCTTAATGATTTTGGCTGGTGGAGATTCCCATATTCTCTTTAAGCAATTGGTTCCAGATCACAGTATGCTAATATGCAGCCTGGTATTACTTCTTGTCCTGCGTCTCATGGACTGGGAGAACAAATCATTCCCTTCCTGTTTGCAGCAGCCTTATACCTGTTTTTCTCAGTCCCCTTGGTCTTCCCTTCTGCAGGATAAGTAACCTGGATTCAGTGTTTCCTCCTAGGTCATATTATTTAGACCTCTGACCGTTCTCCTTACAGCCTACAGTTGATAAATGTCTCTCTTTGAAGTTCAGTGCCCAGACCTGGATATGCTAATCCACCTGAGACCTCTCCAGGGCTGAGTGGAAACTCGCATTGTGTGTCTTGCCTGTTCAGTGGAACAAAGCAAATGTGCTCCTGATTTTTGGGGTGCTGGGGGTCTGGTCAGGAGGCCGCTTGATAAAATAGCAACAGGTGTCCTCCCTTTTGCTGTGCAGTGTAGCACGGGCAAGCTCGTCCTGTTCTCAGTATGTCTCAGGGCTGCTGAGTTGAAATAGACTCTGTGGAGCTTGAGGTCCTTTCAGTCTCTGGTCTATCCAGCCTAAACAAGTGCCAACAGAAGAATCAGACAAAGTGCAATCCTCTCTGGTGTAGTCACCTGCTCACTGCAGCTGGATCAGAATCAGGAGAAATGTTTTGGCCATGTGAACATCTGGCATTGCTTTTTGCTCACTCCCAAATGGAGTCGAGTATTTTGAATGCGTGAGAAGTTCAAGACTTAGCAGTTCCCTTTTTTTCCTGGGCTCTCTGGTCCTTACTGTGTTTGCTCTGAGCATTGCTAAAATACTGTTGTTTAAAAGAGCATGAATAAGATGGGAATTCTGCCTGTCTGTGGAGAAACAATGCCTGGCACTGCTGAGCAGTGACTTTTTTCCTTTGGTCCTGACCTGTTCCCTGTGGATGGCCTCCATATAAAAAGCATAACAGTTTCAAAATCATCTCTCGGGAACGAGAAGAAATGTAAAATGTAGAGGACAAAGGGCCCATAGTGTCTTTTGGGATGTGATAATCCCAAAATGCATGGAAAGAAGCAGAGGAAATAAGAATTCATAAATATAACGGCCTTTATAAAATGCCAGTATAATTCCTCTTAGAAAGATTGCGATGCTTATGGCCTGTCTGTAAAACAGTCAGCTGCAGAAACGATAAGCATATTTGTGCTTAAGTCAGTGGAGCCTGTCACAGAAGTTGTGGTATGGGTTCGGACTGGTGTACAGTGGTTTTCTGATGGCACAGGTATTTCAATGAAGGACATAGAGAGTTTTGCTCTCTAAGCAGCAGCTGTCCTGGCAGAAGGCATTAGGATAGCTGCAGTTACAGTAGCAAACTGCTCTCTATCTTAAAATATGCTTTGCTCATGGGGAGGAAGGGTGAGTTGTTATCCCAGTGCACTACTATTGCTGTGTCAGTGCAAAAAGTTAGAGCATTTTACTGTGCAGTATTTCTAGAGCTCCTGAACACCAGAAAAATGCCTATTTGATGCTAAGCAAGTTGTAAAGTTTCCTGTGATGCATTTTGGATCAGATACCCCAAGGTGCATGCTCTTTCTCTTCTGGGGTTACTCCTTTAGGCATAAGCATAGAAAAGATGTTTTATTTGGTTTGTAAATGTTTCATGGGAAAAGGCTGTCAAATATTTATTTTTAAACACCTGAATATTTATTAAATATTAACCTACCTCCTGAAGTGCTCACCTCACTGTGAGTATATTTTCAACCAAAGGTAAATAATCACTTTGCATAGCGTGTGGAAGATACTTACAATCTCTGATTTAAAATGTGCTTTATCACCACAGTGGCCGAACACCTGAGATAACATGAATTTGTTTGGCTTTTCCTCAAAGAAGGCTTTCTCTGATTTGGGGGTGGGAGGGGGAAACCAGAACCGAACAAAACAGGAGTTGACTGTAGTTCTTTCTTGCACAGTGACTAGAGAATTCCTTTATTACTTTATTTCGTATTTGTGTTCAGCTGTTGTATTTTAGGCCCAGTAAAAAAAATAGAGGTTTGACATATGCCTGCCAAGTCCTGTATGCTTTAACTTGTAATTGCATAAATCTTACCCCACTGGAGTGTAGGCATAGATCAGAAATGGGTCAGAATCTAGGCTAATAGTGTTGTATAAATAAATACAATTCATACTTTTTGTCTCTTCTTCTCTTTGATAATAGCCATATCTGTGTATACATACACGTTACATTGTTACTTGTTTGTATTTTCTGTGCAGTATATGCATAATGCACTATATATGCTCATCCCATCTAAACTGCATGTGAAATATTGATTTTTATCTTTATATAGTATAGCTAGAAATATATATGCAAATAATATTAAAACAGTGATATCTGAACATCTCTATTGCTCTTTAATGTTTGCCTGTATATCCTAGACACACACACACTGCTGAAAGCACAGGCTGAATGGCAATAGTTTTAAACCTGACACTGAGTTTATCTTTGTTCTGTTTGGGTTACAGGGTTGGGACCAGGGAAGTACATAATAAATTGGAGAAGAACAGGTGCGTAGAAAGCCAGGGTTGTTTTTTTACTGTAATTCCCCTTCCTTTTTTTTTTTTTTTTTTTGCCTATAGTCTGTACATTTTTTTTCAAATGATTTGAACAAAACTCTTAGTGACTTTTAATGAATCTTGCAATACTGCTTTGCTTTGCTTATAGCTCACTTCTGCATCTCTTGCTTCCCAGTATGTTTTACTTAGCTGCATAACTGCATTACAATAACACTGCAAAGCCCTGATCCTGCAAAGTAAATCACCATGTGCATAATGGTGTAATTCCTCATTTGATTTAAAGTACTATGTTAGCCAAGATCAGGGACCAGGGTACAGTGTGAATGCAGAATAAAGACCAGTTCTGATCCAAAACTCTTACAGTGTAAGTAGCTTTATCAGAAACATGGTGAAAGTGAAAACAACAGCACAGAGAGATGAGATATTTTATTTAAGATTGCACAACATTTCCTAGCAAAACTAGGACTAGAGTTCAGGTCTTACAAGCCACAACCCCCTATTCCATTTGCTGGATTGAGATGGCTCAATTTTAAGAATACAGGTAGTCTCAGTGGCTGCTGTGCACATGTGTAAGTGCTTTGCTGGATTAAGGCCTCAATTAAGTTTTTGGTCTCTGTTAAACTGACTTCTGGTTTATGCTCACGCAAGTTGACAAACCACCTGTGTTTTCTTTAGACGTGCGCATTTGAAAGAATGCTTTGAGACATTAAAACGCAACATCCCCAATGTAGACGACAAGAAGACCTCAAACCTCAGTGTTCTAAGGAGTGCCTTGAGATACATCCAGGTATGTATGGCGTTCGGGTGACTGCTTGTTACTGCTGGCCATCATTTTTACACATTTTATCTATCAAAACCCAGAGAACAGTATTAACTTTGCTTAAACCAAGTTAATTATCTACTTCCTGTAGTGCAAAGGAAAAAGGGAAAGGAGCAACTCCCGTTTTCCCCTTTCCTACACAAGCGTAGTCATTTATAAATTCCAGATTTGCAGAGCATTTCATGTCTAGGAACACTTTCTTCAAGCCATCTCCTTATGGTTAACTAGGAATTTCTAGTATAAGCCAGTCATACCAAGAGTAGAGATGGGCTTTAGGTGCCTTTCACCTTGATGACGTAGGTGATACAAATGTTCGTAAAGAGGGACATCCAGTCTGCATAAAGTTATACTTCTCCTTTCTGGACTAAGGTTAATTTTAATATATATGGTTTGGGATTTTTTTCTCTTTGCTAATCAAGCAGACAGCCTTCCTTCCGTGAAGGTTTGGAATGTCTCAAAAAT